TATTCAAGCTGACTAAACAAATATTCAATTAGTATTCAAGAGGTGTAGTGTAATTATAATTCCTTTGATATATGGTCTATTTTTCCTGGGGTATTACTTTTTTATTTGTGTAATTATTTTTTATTCCCATCCTCCCACCCCTTTGGCAACCATCAACTTTGATCTTTACGGGTATATTTCTATTTTATTTCTGTGGTGTCAGCTGTAACTTCTCTTTCATTTATTTTATTTATTTGGTCTCCCTCTCTTTTTATTCATGTGTTTGGCTAAAGGTTTGTTAAATTGTTTATCTTTTCAAAGAACCAGCTCTTAGTTTTATTGATCTTTTTTATTGTTTTTTATTTTTTATTAAAAAAAAACCTTTTTGTTAATTCTCACCCAAGGATATTTTTTCCATTGATTTTTTTTGGTTGTTGTGTTGTTTAGAGAGAGTGGAAGGGAGGGCATGGAGAGAGAAAGAGAGAGAGAGAGAGAGAGAGAGAGAGAGAGAGACATTGATGGATTATCTACCACACACTCCCCAACCAGAATTGAATCTGCAACCTTAGGTATGTGCCCTTGACTGGGAATCCAACCAGCGACTCTTTGGTCTGCAGGCCAATGCTCTAACCAGTGGGCAACACCAGCAGGGCTATTGTTTTTAATTTTTATTTTGTTTATTTCTGTTCTAATTTTACTTATTTCCTTCTTTCTGTTTCTTTGGGTTTTGTTTGTTCTTCTTTTTCTAGTTCCTTCAGTTATAGAGTTAGATTGTTTATTTAGGATATTTTTTTTCTTGAAGTAGGTCTATATAAATATGAATTTCCCTCTAGAACTGCTATTGCTGCATCCCATACATTTTGAAAAGCTGTATTTTCATTTTCATTTGTTTCAAGATAGTTTCTGATTTCTTGTTTGATTTCTTCTTTGAGTCATTGGTTGTTTTTCCTCCACTTATTTGTTTTTTCCTTCTCCTTCCCCCAACCCCCTCCATGCTTTATGTTATTGATGTCATGTTTTAGATCTTTTTGTGGTGTGCCTGGGAATGTGCTGCAGAAACCTGGCAGGTAGACCAGAACACCTGGATAGAGCCCCCTGCACACCCTATGGAGTTAGAGGGGGACATAAACAATGGCACTCACTGGTGGTCCCTGGAGAGCTCCCCTGGCTTCCAGCCTTCTCTATACTCTCTCTCTTGTTTGTTGTAGAGAACGTGGTCCTATAGAGAAGAGACCTCTCTGTAGGCTCTACGTGCTGGGTATACCAGGTGCTCATGGCAGCTGGGGCAGTAGCTTGCTGAGCAGGAGAGAGGCCCCTGGCAGGGAGGCCAGGGGTGTGGTGACATCCTGTTGTTCCTGCTTGCTCTCTTTGTTTAGGGACAAAGGGCTCAGGGCAGTGTATCTGAGAAAGCCCTGCTCTGAGGGCCAAGCACCTGAATAGGGTTCCAACCTGCCTATCAAAGTGGAGGGGGAAGTAAACAGTGGTGCTCACTTGCTCCTCAGTCCAGAGAGTGCCCTCAGCTTCTGAGAGCTCCCAAGGCCTCTCAGCCTTCTCTAGGCAGTGTCTTTCTCTTGTTTGTTGTTCAGAAACTATTCATTCAGTGCCCAGTTT